CCCGGCCAGTTTGACACAGTTTTTTGTACGTTTATTCTTTTCAGGGTTGGGTCTACACCTTCAGAGTCCTTCTGTGGACTCCACTGCCCTACAAGTAAAGAAGATTTACACTTAGACTTTGACATAGTCCAAAATTCTTCTGCTTTTCAGATATACTCTAGTCACCTAGTCTGTGATTAGTCATTTTATAAAAATTGCAGATGAAACATCTATTATGCAAAATTAAACCAATACAGAAGGGTAGAAAGTAATCCCCTAGGGGGCCGCCTCTCCCCGTCACCACAGTATCATTCCTTGAAAAGTACCCACTGTCAATAGTTTCCTGTGCCTTTTTCAAATTCTTTTGTAGTCATAGGCTACAAAACCAAGCAAACATACTAATTTTAAAATAGTAGAACATTGTTCTGCAACTTGTTTTTTTTAATAGTAATATCTATAGTAGACATATTTTATTCCTTTTAATGCATGTATAGTATTCTGCAGTGAGGTGATTTTGAATTTTTGTAGGAGAGGTTTTGCAACATCAAAGGTTATGAATGTTCTTTTTTCTCTACACCTCTGCCAACATTGAATGACATCAGTCTGATGAGCGAAAATTTCATTGTTCTAATTAGCACCTTCCTTTTCCTCTAATGTTGTCTATTGTCTTTGCATATTATATTAGCCATTTATATTTTTCTGTGAATTGTATTTCTATACCATGCCTGTGTTTCTATTTGGCTGTTTAATTTTTTTACATTTGTCTTTGTTTATTAGTACTATTAAACCTCTGTCATATATAATGTGTTTTTTTTCAGTTCACCGTTTGATTTTTAACTTGCCTAAACTTTTCTAATAACTTACTTTCTTTCCCTTTGCCTTGATGTTGCTATTTCTTCTCCATTCATCATGCTTTCCTCTTTGAGCAGTAGACTTGCCTCCTTCCTGGGTGCTCATAGGATGTTTACTAAGAATTAGGAGATACAAGTTCTGGTCCAAACTTTGTAGTCATAGGCAAGTCACTCCTGTATGCCTTACTTTTCTGCTTTATTATGTCTAGATAGTTAACCTCTACTTCAGCATAATTGTTAGACTCAAAAACCATTGTAGGTGTGAAGGCTCATTACAAAGGTAAAGCTCTAAATATGTAAAATTTTTTACTACTTAGACACAATTGTTTAAAACCTTACGAATTTGTTTTGTCAATTCCTTTGTTTAGTAGATGGAGAACATGAGGCTCAGCAAGGGAGGATGACTTGCTCAGAGCCATACTGTATTAATTTCTATTATATTATCTCAATTTCTTACTTGTAGTGAGATGCTCCTTTTCCTGGTAAATTATTATTAAGTGCAGGTTAAAAGACATTAGAGTTAAATTTATGTTTGCTTTTGTTATATATACAGATTATTTTTTAACAGTTGTTTAGTTTGGAAGTAAAACCCTTTCATGGGATTGTTTGTGGGTTATTCCTAATTATTGAATGTCCAGAGTGACTTGAATTTGTGTTCTTCAGGCTGCGATGGATAGTGCTCGACTCAGTGCTGCCAAATCCTCTCCCATGATGGAAACAATCAACATGGTGAGTGTCTAAATAATAATGAGCAAGTTTGTTTACTTCCTAAAAGAGTAATTCTTCAAAGTCTTCAGGCTGCATTAAATGAAATAGAGACTTAAGGGATGAGTTGAGCAGTTGTTGTGATTCCAGTTTTTTTTTATTAGTATAGTTCTTTTTTCTTCTGTTCCTAGAGGGAATGATTTTCCAAATACTAGAATCAGTCCAAATTTCTGTTACAAGGGACAACAACATATTAAAAGATCTCTCTATGAATTTACATCTGTATGTCTTCGGTATGCCTATTTAGAAAGGTCCAGAGTTTCACCCCTGCCTGAGAGGTACCTTTGGGAGGAAGTAGGGGGAGGTATAAGCTGGAGGTATTAAATGAGGTAGGCAACATAAGAGGGAGGCGAAGAGAACTGAGCAATGTTGATATATTGTTTCAGTCTTAGGAGAGAATTTGCAGTAGAGATCTGCTTGGCACTCTGAGGTTCTGATTTCTAAAGTTCCTGGAGTCTGGATAAAGTCACTGTGCTGTGCATACCCTGTAGTGGTTAACTAAGATTGTGAGCTACTTACTAAGTTGATCACAAAGCTGGAGAAGAGAAGTAGCTATTTTGTAGTGCCTGCAGGAGGATTGTTACCAGAATTTGGCGTAAGCATGTTATATCTTAGTTGGATTATTTGGGGGGAAAATAAGTTGAAAGAAATAGGAACAGTTAACGAATACCATTTAGTTATGTTCATTAATGCTAGAATATATGTTGTTGAATTTTCAGAAATAAAGACCAGCAAATTATAGGAGAATTCATCTAAGAAGTTGACTTATTGGAGGTGGTTTGGTAGGGTAGGCTCACTGAAGAATACCAATTTTAGTCTAGGTTTTTCTAATACCAAACGTGGATTGATAGAGGAAGTAGGCCTAGAGAGGTCCTTTATTTTTGGGTAATTATTATTTTCGGCTTTAGTAAATTGATGTTTTTCTTTTCTTTTTTTCTTAAGGGACAGGGTCTCACTCTGTCACCTAGGCTGGACTACGGTAGCACAATCATAGCTCACTGTAAACTTGAACTTCCAGGCTCAAGTGCTCCTCCTGCTTCAGCCTCCTGAGTAGCTAGGACTGCAAGCTTACGCCACCACACCTGGCTAATTTTTTCTAATTTTTTGTAGAGATGGGGTCTGGCTATGTTGCTTAGACTGGTCTCAAAGTCCTAGGCTCAAGGAATCCTTCTGCCTCAACCTCCCAAAGTGCTGGGATTACAGGCATGAGCCACCATGGCTGGCTTGTTTTGTTTTTATTGTTGAATCACTGATGAATGATTTTTCTGTTTGTAGTATAATGGTGGTTTTAATATTGAAATCAGAGCAAAATCATAGGATTTTCAACTTGATGTCACATCCAGTGGGTACATATTTGACATAGGCAGTTTTTAATTGGATATGGTACTGACTTAATTACTTGCTAAGCTTTACCTTTATATTTATTCTTTTTCAAAAGTGCCTGCAATATCTTGATGTGTCAGTGCTGGGTGAGCTAGTTCCTAGATTGTGTGAACTGATCAGAAGTGGTGTAGGTCTTGGAACTAAGGTAAGTAGTGTATTTTTCACAAGAGGAAGGATGCATCTTTATTAGTTTGGCCACAAAAATGTAACAGCTATCATGTTTAAAATTCATATTTTATCACAAAACCTAATATTATTAATATTATATGTTAATCATTTTGTTTCTGTGGTTGCACTGATAACTGAAAACATATGACTGATTCAGAAAATAAAGTAAATGTGTTCCAGTAAATATTGTCTTACCTATTCAGTGGAATCATTTCTGTTCCCTGTTGCCATGTACATGCCTTCTGTGTTCTTGTTCATTATCAGTTCATGGAAATGCTCATCCATTTATCAGGATATGATTGTTTTAGGTGGTGATTAGCATTTCTCACAGTGGGGCCAGCAGGTATTTGGATAAAAAAAAGTCTTCCTTTTCAAGATCTTTCAAGGATCGGATACCACCCAGTACCCTCTTTAAAACAAATAACTCACATTTTTTTTCTTGTGACAAAATTAACACTTGCTTATATTTTAAAATTTTAGCATTTGTAGATCGGAAGAAAGTTAAAAATTGTCCATAATTTTACCATGTAGAGTTAACTGGTGTTAATATTTTGGAGTGTTTCCTCTGGTTTCTTTTTTGTGCATGTATCTTCTACAATGTCTTTTATAAAGTCTGTATGATACTCTATTGTATGGATGTAACATTATTTTAATCCAAAGAACGTCTGACTTACTGTTAGTTTTTTTTTTTTAAATATTAAACAAAGTGCTGTGATGACTGTCTTTGGACACATCTGAAGCCACTTCCTTAGGTTAAATTTCTAGAAATGGAAATGTTAGCACAATGACAGATAAGACAACATAAATTGCTTTCCCAGGAAATTGTACCAATCTTCTTTCTTTTTCATGGTGTCCAAGATCACCCTTCTTCCTGCTATAGGTCTTGGAAAAAAATCTTTGCATTACTATTATAGTTTGAAATAAGAGTTTTCCTTTTTTTAGATTGAATCCTGGAGGGGCTGTTAGGCTTCATGTATTTTATGTTGTTAAATCTTTGACACCTAAAACAAATGGTTTGGTAGAACATCATGACCATCTAGTTTAGACTTTTGCCTTTGTAACCCATAGGGCGGCTGTGCCAGTGTCATCGTGTCATTAACTACTCAGTGTCCTCAGGACCTAACACCTTACTCAGGTGAGTGTGTCAAATGATGTGTGGTGATATTTTCACATGGCTGTGTCTTGTGTACAGAATTTTAAAAGGGAAAATAATTATTCAAACATGCTTGGGATGCTGTATGCTTTTTCTCCCCTCAGCCCCTCCCCCCCAATTTCTTTCTCTGAAGAGTTTATCAAGTTTAGCAAGTTTTTACTGTTTTATGAGGATTTGATTATTTCTTTGTGGAATGAGGAAATAAAAGTATCTGCCATTCTGTAGGACTTGTTCACCATTTATAGCTAATCTTACATCAGCTATAGAAAAATTACATTTTTCTCTTCTTAGATTGCTTCTAGAAGAGGTTAATGAACTTTATGTACCTGGCTCTAATTTTGCAACTTTTCCCATGGTATTCTAGACACAGTGTAATTTTTAATTTTATATCAGGCAAAGGGAAGCAAATGGATAGTACAAATACAACATTCAAGGGATCTAAACTACTATGGAGTAAATCAGATGTTAATTACAGGATTATGTTTGTTTTCATCCTGGGAACAGAGCAGAATATTTAGTCAACCAAATATCAGATTTTTTTCCCTTTATTTCTGGTAGGTAAACTTATGAGTGCTTTGCTTAGCGGCCTGACAGATCGGAACAGTGTGATTCAGAAATCCTGTGCATTTGCCATGGGCCATTTAGTTCGGGTGAGTTGAATTCCTTATTTAGTTAAGTAAAGCTCTGATAATTACAAAGAAATGACTAAGATTGTTTGTTTTTCAGACCTCACGGGATAGTAGCACTGAAAAACTTCTGCAGAAGCTCAGTGGCTGGTATATGGAGAAAGAAGGTACCTTCCTCCCCCTATTTTCTGTCATTTTTAATTTAAATGTTAACAAACTAATAAAACAACAAAAATTAATTCTTACCCTCCATGATTTTATGTGCTTTGCTAGAAATACTTCTAATTGATTTTACCTATTTATTTGTTTTGCTGTGATACAAGTTGAGCAATAGTTTATTTAAATTGGTTACCCTTAAAAACAATAAATATCATAAAGATTTTGGTTTCTTCTGCTTTTGTCAGAGCCCATCTACAAGACCTCCTGTGCTTTGACTATTCATGCTATTGGACGCTACAGCCCTGATGTATTAAAGAACCATGCCAAAGAAGTCTTGCCTTTGGCATTTTTAGGCATGCACGAAATTGCTGATGAGGAGAAATCTGAAAAAGAAGAATGTAACTTATGGACTGAAGTGTGGCAGGAAAATGTACCTGGTTAGTAAATGGTACCTGTGAATTAAACCTGCTTCTTAGGAACCACAGCTAGAATTTTTTACTTTCTTCATAAATTCCTCTGTAGTTACTTTCCGAGGACCTTAACAACATGCATCCCATTTAATTTTAAGCCTATCCAAATTGCTCAGTTCTCAAGGTTGACGCTCAGAGCTCTTCTCTTTATTTATCACTGCCCATGTGAGAGAATATAAACTCTTTTCAAGCAAAGTAGAACTTTACATTTTCAGTTGAGAGTGTAATTGTGGTTTTATGTTGCCTTAGCGTGTTATTTTAGAATAGTGTTTTTTCACCTTGACACATACTAATGGATGATCACCACTTGTGTGACACCCTCCTATAGGCACATCGAAGTTCATAAAGTTCTGCCATTGTAGAAATAAGCCACACCACCACATACTTTGAGAGAGTGGAGTCTTTTAACAGTTGAGAACCACTGCTTTAGACTGATGGACACTGACTTTTTTCGGACTTAGAAAAGTCAGTTAATTTTTCTTTCCACTTAAAAGTTGTTTTAATTTTGCTTTTTATAATCTAGGTTCCTTTGGTGGCATTCGATTATACCTACAGGAGTTGATTACCATTACCCAGAGGGCTTTACAGTCTCAGTCTTGGAAGATGAAAGCCCAGGGTGCAATTGCCATGGCATCAATTGCAAAACAAACAAGTTCTCTAGTCCCTCCATATCTAGGAATGATACTGACTGCGTTGTTACAAGGCCTGGCTGGAAGAACGTGGGCAGGAAAGGTAAAGAAACCATTCATGCCCAGTTAAATTTAAGGTATCCTTAAGGGATTCCAACTTCATGTTTCATTTTCTGTTAAAATAAGAAACTGGTTTTTTGTGACTTCAGATGGATTTTTTTTGCTAACCAGATTTCCTAGCCATTGGGAAGCTTTGGGTAAATTTTGCCTGATTGTGATATTTCATCTCAAAGTATAACCCACATGTCCTTGAATAATGCACAGTAATGCTGGAGATTGATATATTTATCATCTTCAGCCTTCCACGTTATGTCTTAAACCAAGTTGTCACCATTTTGTGCCTGTTGACCTCATGAACAGATCAGGATTGGGCATATGTGAAATTGAGTAGCAAGATGAGCTGCTTCTAAACCTGGGCCTGAAGATGCCCATCTTTGAGGCCTGTGAATTATTAACAGTCATTATTTACACAAGGGCTATAGTAGGGTACTTACAGTGAACACTCAGTGGGGAACATGAGATTGTGGCAACGATTGTATATTCAATCATGTAAAATTATTGTACAGTTCAATAGTGGCCCATGCAGTACCGATGAAGTGTAGTACCTGACTAGGAGTCAGACCTAGTTCTAATTCTGTGGTTGACACTCCTGTCTGTGTGACCAAATCAGTGTCAAATCAGTTCTCTAGGCCTTTATGAAATGGAGATGAAGATAATTATCCTGCGTCTGTGGTTTGGAGTAAAACTCAGTGGATGTGCTTATTAAATGGTACAGTGCATTAAAGATAAGGTGACTCTTGTTAATTTTTGTTGTCGTGGTTATTAAATATTCCTGTGGTAATTGTAGTCATAGTGTAGAGTGTAAATGACGTGTTTCAGCTTAATAATATTCCCTCATCTTTCCACCCCTTAGGAAGAACTATTGAAAGCCATTGCCTGTGTGGTGACAGCTTGCAGGTAAATGTTCTTTCATGAAGATGCCATTTCTGCAGCTGAATCTGAGCAGCAGCCTTTATTAACTGTTCTGATGCTTTTGTATGGATCCTGTAGCACAGAGCTGGAAAAGTCTGTCCCCCATCAACCCAGCACAAACGAGATTCTGCAAGCTGTTCTGAAGGAGTGTTGCAAAGAGAATCTCAAATACAAGATTATAGCCATCAGCTGTGCAGCCGATGTCTTGAAGGCCACCAAAGAAGACAGATTCCAGGAGTTTTCTGACATTGTTATACCTCTTATTAAGAAGGTAATGACCACCTGTATCCTCTTGGGTCTGGTTTATACTTTAAAAAAAAAAAAATTTTTTTTCCTGTGCTCTAATTGCATGTTTTATATATTAGTTTTACTGCAGGTAGCAGAAAAATTCCAAACTATCATGGCCTCAAACATGATAGAGGTTTGTCTGTCACATAGTAGTTTGGAGCCTCACAAAGCTTTCAAGAATATCAGCTCTTTGCAGCTCTCAGCACTGCCACGTCTAGACCGTGGTCATTGGCCTCAGGGTCCGTAGTGTATGTGTGTTCCAGGCAGGCCTGGCAGAGGAGATGAAGCAGGGATGAAAGATCATGTGGGCCTGTCAGTTTTCTCTTCCGGAGAGTTCCTGGAAACTGCTACACAGCACTTCACTTATATTCATCTCATTGGCGAGTGCTTAGTTACATAGCTGTGTCTGGCAGCAGATGAAGCTGGGAAAGGGAGTCTTCATTCTGGGTGTCCATTTGCCTTCCATGGCAGGTAGAAGGGGAGAGTAGATTCTGTAGTGAATGAACAGTTTCTGTCACAGTAAGCTGTGCCTCGGAAGCATCTGCAGAAGCCACCCCCACATCCTAGGGTGAAGGAGCTCAATGTACCACGTGGATTGCCTCTGCCATATACTGGGGGACTTTGGTTAAAAAAAAAAAAAAGAATTTGATTTTGGAAAATGGAGAACTCATTTTTAAAGTTTGAGTTCTGGTTCATAGAAAGAGGGGTATGGTTTACCTATTTATTTGTGAAATGAATTACTTTAAATAGCATTCTTCTTGTGTTGCTGCTAATGTGCAGTTTTCTTTCAGTAATAAGGCTGTTTATATAATTTCTGTTACATACATAATGGTAGCGTATGAAATTGGGAGACTTGTGTTTTCAGTTGATTTTGTCACCAGCTAGCTGGACCAGTTGTTTCCCTTGGCCTCTGTCTATCAAGGAAGAGTTTGGATTTAGATCATTGCCGAGTTCCTTCCATCTTCAATTATGATTGTAATGTCCTCTTATGTTCTGCTCAAAATATTACATATACAGTATTTTTTTTTTGCTTTTGTTTTTACAGATTCCTTTAAAGTAGTTCCCAAATTTGTTTAGAGGTATAATATTCCTGTTACAAATTCTTGTTACCAATGGGAAATCTTACGGTAGAGAATTTACCATTTAATTCTTGCTTAATATTTCCTGCTCTGGTACCAGATTGCTTTAATAGTATACCTGTAACTTTAAAGAATAAAATATTAAAGTTTGCCTTCCTTTTCTTGATATATCCTAGAACTCACTTGAAAGCACTGGGGTCCGGACAACCAAAAATGAAGATGAGAATGATAAGGAAAAGGAGCTGCAGCTGGAATCTCTGCTGAGTGCCTTTGAAAGCCTGGGCAAAGCCTGGCCCCGCAACGTGGAGACTCAACGTAAGCCCCAGAAACTACGTTTGAAGAAGTGCTGTGATCAGAGGTTACTTAATGAGAGCAGAGATTTTTTGTATGACAAATTATAGTTACTGTTTCTTGTAGAGTGTCATTAATTAATAGTGAGAATTATCCAATAGAAATTTTACTTCTACGTGAGCATATAATCTCATTGATCATTGTATTACTTTACTAGGGCTGCTGTAAAAAAACTATCACAAGTTGGGTGGCTTAAACGACCAGTTTATTTCTCTCAGTTCTGGAGAGTAGGAGTCCAAGATCAAGGTGTTGGCAGTGTTGGTTTCTTCTGAGACTTTTCTCCTTAGCTTATGAATGGCCATCTTTATCGTGTGTCTTTACATGGTCTTTTTTCTGTGTCTCTGGGTCCTAATCGCCTATTCTTATAAGGACACCTGTCAGATTAGGGCCTACCCATATGACCCTTTCTGATGTACTTACAGGCCGAGGTACTGCTGGTTAGGATTTCAACATATGAATTTTGTGGGACATGGTTCAGCCCATAACAATCATGTTATATTTTATGGAGATACTTTGATGAAAAAATATTTCTGTTACTCTTCTTTATGATCACAGCTCTATTCTGAGGAATCTACAAAATTTATTAGTGGGGTCTCTTCATCTCAAAATTAATGGCCTCCCTACCAATTCTTCAGTAAGCAAGTGAAATCTCTGTTTCACTGAGAAACCCATGACTGTTTAGAAGATGTTCAGAATTGGACATGTATTTCTAAAGGATTAAATACAAACAGTGAACCTTGTTGGAGTAGGTTGCAATTAATTTGGAGTTCTTTGACAGGGCCTTAACCTTGGGGCAATACTATTTTAAATTTGCGTGTTGATTCTACAGTGCATCCTGCTGAAAATCTCAATATTCTTGAATGTTACAAAAAGTGTTGTTGATTATAGGTGATTGGATATATCTAAAATCAGACTTAAGGTTTTCTTTGAGTTCTATCATTCTTTGTATGAATTTATATATTTGCTGTGTTATAGGAAGGATTACCCAAAAGATACAAATTTGTAAGTGAGGCTGTAGTGGAATTCCTCTTATTTAACATCATTGAGACTATTAATTTTTCCTTGATAGGTAGAGAAAGTAGGGAATTACATAAAAAAGATGATGCAAATACAAAGCAGTTTATTTTATAATATAAGATATGGAAATGTACATTTATTTGCCAGTTGCCGAGCACAGAGCCAAGGCCTTTTTGAGAATTTAACTGTTACACATTAACTTGTCATAGATATCTTATAATGTACAATGTACAATTTCTGGGTTTTGCTTCTTTAAAATAGAGAAGGAAATTTCAAGCTTTTATGAAGCAATCCAAGTGCAGAATTCCAGCCTTCTACCTCCTCCCCCCATCTTTACATGTGTTTGAGCTCGACTAAATTCTACAACATTTAAAAATAACTCCTTTGTTGAGTTTTCTACTCCTGATTCATTTGTTGGCATAATATTAATTACATAATTATAAGAAAAATTGAGTTGGCATAATAGTTTTGTGATAAAGCACTGTTGACTCTTGGTAAACCAACACTTTGCAAAAGGTTATGAGTGTCTAGAGAGGAGCTCCTGGCTTCCAGAGTTCTGCTTTCTTTGGCTGTCATTCAGGAAGTTTTAAAGGGGAAGGGGAGTGTAGTTAAAGTGCTGTTTCAGTTCCATGGAGGATGAGATGCCTTGAAAATGAGCATTTTATAAACAGTTACGTTGCACCTTTGTGGGGACAGTATCTGATTAATAGTGTTTGGGAATTTGGGTGCAAAAGTGACACTCAGGTTTTTTTTGGAAATTCATGGCTTTAATTAATTTATTATTTTATCTTCTCTCTCCTTCCTATTTTTCTCTACCTTTTCCTCCTCTGTCTGTCTGTCTCTCTCTTGCTCTCTCTGTCTGTCCCTCATTTGCTCTGTCTCTTGCTCCTTCGCACTGTCTCTCCTGCTCTATCCCACTTGGTCCTTTTTTCCCAGGTTGTTATCGTCAGGAGCTGTGCAAACTGATGTGTGAACGGCTAAAACTCAGCACGTGGAAAGTGCAGCTAGGAGTCCTGCAGTCAATGAATGCCTTTTTTCAGGGGTAATTTACTCATGGTTCAGTTTTTTTATTTTGTCCACTCCCCCCAGCATTTTATATGTACAATGGAATTATTATAAATTTTAAATTTGATAGGTAAAGTGACATGATAAAGTGATATATGCAGATAGAAATTGTTTGTGCCAGGAAGGATTTAGAATGTTTCCTTAGTAACTAGCATTTGCATCTTGCTTTCTGATTTGTATAGGTTAATGCTTTTAGAAGAAGAACATGCAGATCCTGAGGCTTTGGCTGAAATTCTCCTTGAAACTTGTAAATCAATCACATATTCTTTAGGTGAGTGTAGTAAACTGAAATTGATAAGGAGTCCTAATATATGTATATATTTTTTTTAAGAGACGGGATCTTGCTGTGTCACCCAGGCTGGAGTGCAGTGGCATGATCATAGCTCACTGTAACCTTGACTTCCTGGGCTCAAAAGATCCTCCCACCTCAGCCTCCCAAAGTAGCTCAGATTATAGGTGTGCACCACCATGCCTAGCTAAATTTTTAAATTTTTTGTAGAGATGGGGTCTTGCTATGTTGCCCAGGCTCTTCTGGGCTCTAATTATTATATAAAGCTAAGGAGCTAAGCTTCAAATATTTCCTACCTTGTCTGGAACTAAATTTCTAGAACTCTCCAACTTAATATACTCCATATGTATCCCTAAATGGGAATATTTTAACGTGGAACTGTAATAGGATTTTACCATTTAGACCAGAAAAACCTTTGTGCCAAGTATTTATGAAATTTTTTTATTGGGAAATAGTTTAAAATTTACAGAGCAGCTGCAACAATAGTACATATAATACTTGTATACCAACAGTCCCCAACCTTTTTGGCACCAGGGACCAGTTTCATGGAAGACAGTTTCAGTGGACAGGGGGTGCAGAGCTCAGGTGGTGAGACGTGTCTGCTCACCTCCTGCTGTGAGACCTGGTTCCTAAGTTTCATGGAAGACAAATTTTCCATGGACTGGGGGGCGGAGTCAGGCAGTGATGTGTGGCCTGGGGTTGGGGACTGCAGCTGTATACATTTTACCTAGAATCATCTGTTAACATTTGGTCCCATTTGCTTTGTCATTTGGATGTCTATGTGTGTGGATTTTTTTCTGAAGCACTTGATATGTGTATTGCTTACATCAATCCCTTTATTCCTGAATTCTTTAGTGTGCACTCTTTTATACACCACAGTACAGTTGTCAGCTTTAGGTAGCATAATGTGGATGCACTTTTTTTATCATTCATATTCTAGTTTGTTCATTTGACTAAGTAATGTTCTTTTTTTTTTTTGAGACAGAGTCTCACTGTGTTGCCCGGGCTAGAGTGCCATGGCGTCATCCTAGCTCACAGCAACCTCAACCTCCTGGGCTCAAGCGATCCTTCTGCCTCAGCCTCCCGAGTAGCTGGGACTACAGGCATGCGCCACCATGCCCGGCTAATTTTTTCTATATATTTTTAGTTGTCCGATTAATTTCTTTATATTTTTAGTGGAGACGGGGTCTCGCTCTTGCTCAGGCTGGTTTCGAACTCCTGAGCTCAAACGATCCGCCCGCCTCGGCCTCCCAGAGTGCTAGGATTACAGGCGTGAGCCACCGCGCCTGGCCAGTAATGTTCTTTATAGGATTTTGTCCCTCCCCTCCATTAGGGAATCCAGTCTAGGATCATTTATTGAATTTTGTTGTCCTATCTTTTTCGTTTCCATTAATCTAGAGCAGTTCTTCAGCCTTTTTTTGTCTTACGTGACATTGACAGTTTCGGAGACTAAAGTTCTCCTCTCTCCCCTTTTTGAAAAACAGAATGTTTCTCTTTTGGTGTTTGTCCAATGTTTCCTCATAATTAGATCCAGGTTATGAATTCCCAGTTGGGATACTACATTAGTGATGTATCCTCCTCACATTAAGAGGCTCACAGTGTCCAACTGTCCTTATTTGTGTTGTTAATTTTGATTACCTGATCAAGGTACATCAGGTTTCTCTACTTTGTAGTTACTATTATATTTTTTCCCCTTGTGTCTAAAGGTAGCTTGTGGGAAAAAAATGTTTACGACCATTGAAATAATCCGTTCCTCTTCAAAACTGTGTCTAATAAGGAGTCTGTGAGAAGACACTCTAAGACCATGCAAATACTTCTCTTCAACATTTCTTCTCTAGATTTAGCATGCATTGATGATTCTTCCCTGAACCAATTTTTATGAAGATGATTTTCCAGCTCTAGCAGTTTCTCCATATTCACCATTTGGTAGTTGGAATTCTAGTGTAAGCAAGATTCCTCTCTTTTACCCAGCTTTTTATTTATCTATTACTATCTGTTAGTATTGATTCATGGATTTCTTCCCCCTTCAAATGGTTCATGGTTATTTTTCTTAATTAATTTGTTACTCAACTTGTCCCAGATTTGTCCAGCAGGAAGTCCCTTCAAGCTGACTCTTGTGTCCTTTTGAGAGGTCACCATCATTCTTTGTAGGACTTCTATACTTTGTAGCTTAACAAGGTGTTATAAGTTTATCTCATGCCTTCCCTGCCCTGGGTTTGGTTGTGTGTTAATTTTTTTGGTAGACAATTTTACTGTGAAGCAGATAACATGTCAAAGAGTAGACGCCAAGAAAGCATGTTTCGGTAGCAATTGTTAGAGGTAATGTGCTTTTATGAATAAAGAACTGGCAGCTAACAAACTTGTCTTTGCAGTGTTCCAGGCGTCCCTGACTTAGCCTAAACATGGTTTTACAGTGTTCTTTGGTAAAATGAAGGGAGGGTCATGGAAACCTAAAGACTATTCTTAGGTGCCATATGAAGATGACTGTGTGTTTGAGAGAGTGTCTGTTAACCTCCCACTTCTAAAATGGACGTTTTAAATATTGTCATTTGTTGTGGTGATTGTTATATTTGGCCAAAAATTTGTTGCTGTTTTTCGTTTTCCCAAAATAAAGAATGTGGGCATGTTGCACATTTCAAATATTTGACGATAATTAGCAAAAGGGAAGCTTCCTTAAAAAAACCGGACGTATCTTTCCGTAGAGTTACCATTTGTGAACATCTTTCTTTTAAGAACACTAATCTGGCAGGTTCAATTTTTAAGGCATACCTTTTGAACTGTATGATTTTTCTTCTTAGAAAATAAGACCTACTCATCTGTGAGAACAGAAGCTTTATCTGTGATAGAATTGCTGCTTAAAAAACTTGAAGGTGAGTTCCTGATAGTTCTCATTGGAGGAACAGAAAGCCAGGACACTTTATGGCATATGTTTTCAGAAATGTTTTATTTTCTGTTTTTACTTATACTCTAAAAATATACTCTAAGCATATACTCTGAAGCACAAATTAGTATACACGTTTATGCAAGTATAAGGTACAAAGCTAAAACTATTAAATTTTATTTAATATTTACATTTGGTACTCTTTTAATTTGTATACTTTTAATGTGTTATTCAGCTATAGTTATCTCAAAGTAATCAAGTTTTTGTTCCCATCATGAATCCTGATTTAATCTTGGTCACCGGAAGTGGTTGACAGTGGTAGAATTTGCTGTGTATGTACAAAGAAGCAGAATGACACACTGAAAAGTAGAGTCGGAAAAACATTTTAACAGTCACCTACCTGAGTCTTCAAATTTGGTAGCAGTAGTTTTCTTTTCTTTCTTTTTTTTTTTTTTTATTATTTCAGCAGCAGTAGTTTTCTTAATCTTATCTTTTTTTTTCTGTTTTCTTTTTCTTAAACTTTATCAAGAAGCACATTTCTTCTAATCTTCTATTGTGTCAATGGAAAAAGAAAACTGTTAGCATTTCTCTAGCGGTATATCTGCTACTAATTTCCAAAGGAGCCTCCTCCTCTTAATTGTTTTAACTTCATGGATTAAGAGTGTAGAAGATGGAATAGTTTTCTCCACAGCTTTGTGTGTTTGCTCTTTGTACTTCTGTCTCTATCTTTGCTTAGCAATTAAAACACCTCTCTCAGGGCTCCATCAGATAGGCCTTTTAGACTCAGTAACACTAAACATCTCATAATCTCTTTTTTCCTTGTTGAAATAAAAGAGCAGGGCACTTAGTCGTATTACCAGATTCTCAGTTTTCCAGATACATACTAATACAGTGTAGATGAGGAATATGAAACTAAAAGGTTAAATAAGTAACTTGCTTGGAGCCGCATTGGTAGAAAGTGGCAGAACCTTGTAAACAAGATTTAAGATTTGATATGCTTTCTTATTTTCTAAAATTTTCATTATGTATGTAGTTTTCTGATGCTTTCCTTAGAGAACAGAGTAACAAGAGTATCATGTTTATCAATCTGATCTTGCAGTTATGAAATTTGTTTCAAGATTTTTTTTTTTTTTTTTTGCTGACCACATCTTACAAAGTGGCCTTGTGGTGTTGTGGAAATGACTTGTTTGCTACTGTGTGCCTTGCCTTGATACTTCCTTCTTCCCACTTTGTTTCAGTGCAGTTCACTTCTCTTCCTTCCACTGTTACTGGGGAAAGGAGATGAAACTACCTGATGTGCTTTCAGGCTATTGTCAATAATTAGGTTTTGAGATACCTATTGAACCCGTGATCACTATATACTGATCTGTTATCAAGGGGTTGCTTTGCATTTATTTTGGGGATAGTGTATATGGAGAAAAAATCGTTTTAACTTTTTTTCCCTTGCTTGTTCTATAAGGATTGTCTGGGTTTTTTCCTTCTTTCTTTTTCCATTCAGAATCTAAACAGTGGGAATGTTTGACATCTGAATGCAGAGTGCTCCTGATTGAGTCTTTAGCTACTATGGAGACAGACAGCAGACCTGAGCTGCAGGAGAAAGCATCATTACTGAAGAAAACACTTGAAAATCTGGAATAAATTAGAAGGGGAAGAAACAAACAAGTGCCATGTTCATTGGGGGGTTGAAATGGTGGTATTCTTTGAAAAACCAAGTGGGGAAAAGTAAAGATTAATCTGTAGCATGCATCATTCCTTGGCTGAAATAAAAAAAAAAAAGCCTTAAATTTTGTTTTTTGTTAGCTTTATTTTACTCGATGTGTTTAAAGTATCTGGGCTGAGTGAGCTTAATGGAACCTTGCAAGTTTGAGAGGTGGTTGTAAAGGAAACTGGCAGAAATGTTACTAAAAGTTAAAGCTGTTACTAAAGGAATTATTAGACAAAGTTGCAGAGCAAGATGGATAAAAATCTTAGAGCTACATTCAAATTAAATAAAGTTATTTCAGGAAGGGATCCTGTAAATCACTTAGTCTAACCCTTTTCTTTTATACCTGAAGAAATAGGCTCTGAGATGACATAGGCCTATGCTAAGGTCAGAACCTTGGTGTTTAATGTCCTGCCCAGTATGTATGCTTTTTTTTTTTTTTTTTGACAACCTGCTGCCAAATCAGTGCTAACCCTGGCTTACCCAAGAAACTTCCAAGATGAGGTACATTTAGGGTGGCATACACAGTCCTTGTATCAGAACTAAAGTGGCCCTTACCATTGGGTTCTTGAAAGTCAGAGCCAAACATTGTCATGTGGTTAGATGGCTGATTTTTAAAAAATGATTGTTTAGCATCTTTACGGATTGGGAGGGTGAATTCAGTCTCCATATGATAATTCTGACTGTCATTCTTTTTAGGAAGATGAAAGTAGTTAAGGACAAGATTACTCATCTTTCTATATCTCTGTATCTGTGGTTGTGTATCTTGCAAAACCAAAAATAACAATGACAAAATCATAGACTGCCTTGATTTTGACCATTTATAATCTCAAAACTAATGACAAATTTGAAAGTTTTTACTCACTTTTATGCTAACAGTACGCCTTTATAGGGTAGAAGGAAAGCATTGTAATTAACCGTCTGGGAATTACTCTTTTTTAATGCGTTTTCTCAAAATAACATGATACCACTCCAGGTAAATAATTGCACCTAGGGTTTTCCCCCTTCCTTCTACTGCTCAGGCCCCTGCCTAAAAGTGTAGGACAAGTGGAAAAATAAATGTAACTTAAGTGTTTATGGTAAACTGAGAACTCTGTAGCTCACCTTGGATTCCAGAGCACAAGACTGGTTTACATTCAGTACTGACCCGTTACTGACATTCATGCCAAGAACGCCCATGTTTATTCTTTTGGTGGTCTGCATTGACCAATGTATTTCAAACTTTTTTTGACTGAGTCGTAATAAAAATAACTTTTACATCATGACTTAGAGTATGTGTGTGTGCGTGTGTGTATGTGTGTGCGTGTCTGCATATAAAATCTTTAAATGTTTGGTGAAATAATACTCTTACTAATGTGTGATACCCTTTAATCACCTCCCCCCCCCAGTTTAAATGCTCTTCAGATGCACTAAATTAATTTCCTGACTCACAACTGAGTTGCTGCTCACAGTTTGAAAAGCACTGCCGTACATAGTACCTAGACTTGGCTGTATAGGTTTTGGGATTGCTTCTGATTGGAAAGGGGGAGGGTTGCAAATAAAAACTTACTTATTGCCAAAACATTATCTTTGCTAATAATGAAATATAATTGTGAGTTTTAGTAGCATCATGAATTTTAAGGGACCTATCATGGACTTCCATTTGAGAATGGCTTTTGCTTGGGGAAAAACCGACTTTGGTTGGTTTTCAGAAAGCTTATGGACTCTTAGGAGTCCAGATCAGTATTTCCCCCTCCACGAGGTGCCCTCTGACACTTTAATTTACAGTACCTGGGATACTCTTCCTTGGTAAGAATGCAGTGCAAGTCAGGTATTTTCAGAAAGGAAGAGTATAGGGCCAAGAATTGTTCTTGGTCTCTTCAAATGTTAACACCTCATCATTTTATGCTTTTCATGCATTTTGTTATTTAATATTGGGAATTTCCGTTGGTGCTGAGATTGGTGCTAAGACACCAGAACCTTAGTGCTTTGTGCTGTTGAATTACTGTACATTTATTTTAGCTTTCTAAGCCCATTTCTAACTTACACACTTATTGCCTTTATCTTGACCAGCCAACTTATTTGCACAACTAGTAATGCTAAGTCATGTCTCACAGTGCAGCTTATGTTTGGTGTACATACACGTGTGCACATATATTTATTTAAAAGGATTTATAACTGAGAGTTTGTAATTGTGAAATTATGATACTGGTGAACAAATGGCAAAAGGACCCACCACATGTTTTTATCATTGGCCTTTGTTTTCCAAAGCCATCTGGAACAGATTTTGATTATTTTCTCTCTAGAATTATTCAGTGCTACTTGTCATACAAGTAACCAATTTGTAGGGTCTATGTCAGATTCTTTGTTCCTGGAATTAGTGCACTAGATATCTTCATAAATTTCTTGGTATGTGAAAAGGAAATACCCAAAGTGTGGCAATTGGAAATCAGAACTATGAAGGTAATATAAAATTAACTTTTTGGTGATAAAGAGCAGCTGTTTCTTTAGTGAATGTTTTTATCCAATTTACAATCCCAATGTGTCTGCTTATAACACTGTCTGCACAACAAAACCGACTGCCACCACTTGCCCATTGCTTTCACCTTCCATCTTTTACTTGTGTACTTACAGGAAAAAGGAAAGAAAAAAGATACGACCTCGGTCTGAGTTCACACTACCTGCCCTTCATGGGGCATTTCTGCCTGCTGCTGCCACAGTATATTCCTGCTGCTTGTTAAGTCCGAGGAGTTATTCTGACATTGGCACTGATTGTAATGTACAAACTATTGTTAAATGGATGTATATATAACAGATTTTTGTATTTTAGATGCGATGTGTTCACAGAATCTTCTGCAGTATGTACTCAGCTATCTAAGCGTGTGATGGTCTTACTTGAAAGGAAAATCCCCAGGAAGATATTAAATGGTAAATAAAAGCTGCACGATCTGTTCTTTCAAAGTAGTGCATTAATTTTTACTAGTTGTCCAGGAAAATAGCTCAACTGCCAAGGCATCGACAATTTATACTTAAAAAAAAAAAAAAGGGAAGAAAGGCCCTACTGCCTGCCACATTCCAAGCCACCCCCAGTAAGTAGAATTGCTACTTAAGTGTTCGGGAATTCAAAGGCAAAGCAGAAACAAAAGCAAGACACCCCAAACAACTGTTGTTAGATACTTGGAGAAAAGTTATTAAAAAATTTGATTTTCTGATAAAAGTAATCCCATATGAGCATGTAGAAACAACAAGCAGTTCTCCTTTTGACCAGGATTAATAGATGTGGCTATAGGCATAAAATGCCAGAGATACAGGCACAGCCTGTACTACCAAACAAATTTTAGGCTGTGGAAGATAGGCTTGAAGGGTAAGAATTACCTTGTTTACTCTCTGGTAGCAGAGCCAATAAGCCTAAATTGTTCCCTTCTAGTACACTTTTCTGTCTTTCTTTTTCTCCTTTCAAACAGGTTCCAAGTTAATTGATTGGAATAACAATTTTTTTTTTTCCTTAAAGACATAGGGTCTCACTGTGTCACACAGGCTGGAATGCAGTGATGCAATCATAGCTCACTGCAGCTGTGAACTTCAGAGCTCAAGTCATCCTCCCACCTCAGCCTCCTGAGTAGTTGAGTCTCCAGGCGCATGCCACCACGCCTGGCTAATTTTCTTTTCAGTTTTTGTAGAGCCGGGGTCCTGCTATTGCCCAGGGTGGTCTGGAACTTCTGGCCTCAAGCGATCTTCTTCAGCTCCCCAAAGTGCTAGGATTAATAGGCGTGAGCCACCACGCCTGGCTAAATTTTTCTTACGTTTTTTGGAGACACAGGGTCTTGCTGTGTTGCCCAGGCTGGTCTCAAACTCCTGGGCTCAAGTGATCCTCTTGCCTTGGTCTCCCAAAGTGCTAGGATTACAGGCCTGGGCAACATAGTGAGACCTCATCTCTACAAAAAAATTTTTAAAAAGTGAAAAATAATGTTATAAAAATTAGAAATGATCAGCCTTTCAAACGATGCTGATTGATGATACTTACATTTAAGTAGCATTAACAAAACCTTTATTAAAAAATATAAAAGACAGAAAACAGCTAATAGGAATACCGGTTTTTGTTTGGGTATTCTTGAAAAGAATACCTTAAAACCAATTTTGGGTATTAGTGATGGTGAGATACGTAATTCTGTTATGCTACTTTTGATTTCAGAACAGTGTTCAAATACAAAATCTTTTCTGAACATCATTTGAGGCAAGTATTTTTTGAATATTTTATTTTAGCACTATAAAGATGTTCTCTGTTTCTGGCCTTCAAAACATTGTGATATCTGTGGCCATTTGTTCAAATTGTTTCCCTGGATGTCGTGTAATTTTTATGTTTTCATGATTTTCCCTGTACTTTAACTATGATGTACCTATGTGCATTTCTTCATATTTATCCTGCTAGAATTTTGCTTAGATATTTGAATTTCTAAATGTATGCATTTCACCAAATCTGGGATTTTTTTTTTTTTTTTTGTCATTGTTTTCTCAAAGAATTTTTTTTTTCTGTACTCTTTCTCTTTCTGGAACCCTAGTTAAATCTATGCCATATCATTTGATATTATTCTACAGGTCTCAGTCATTGTAAAAAAACCTATCTTTAGATTCAGTTACTCCTCTGCCATATCCATTCTGATATTAAAGCCATTCAGTGAATTTTTATTTCAGATATTTTAATTCTTAGTGCTAAATTTTCCATTTGATTCTTTTTTATATTTTCTAATTTGCTGAGACTTTCCATTTTTAACTTCTGTTTCAAGAGTGTTCCTAATTATTCATTTTTAT